CATATAGCATGGACCCGGCGGAGAGTGGATGTTCAGCGGGCTCCGTACGCGCCGCATTTTGCATGGTTTTTGCATGTGGAACAGCTTGTTTTTTGCATGGTTTTGGCATGACATGATTTTGCATGACATGATTTTGCATGGCATGATTTTGCATGGCATGATTTTGCATGGGTTTTGCACGTCTTTTCGCATGACATGTGCATGTGGCTCAACCCCGTGCCCCTCCCCCTGTTTTTTTCCTGTCAGGCCGCCGTACGTAGGTTCATCCTGGAGCTGGAGAACTCCGAGGCAGGGCAGTGCCGAGCGGGCACTAGTAACTAGATGTGCCGAGCTGGCGCAGTGCCGAGCTGGCACTAGTAACTAGATGTGCCGAGCAGGCACAGTGCCGAGCTGGCACTAGTAACTAAATGTGCCGAGCGGGCACGTGCCGAGCTGGCACAGTGCCGAGCGGGCACTGGTAGGAATGGCACCCCGGTGCCGAGCTGGCACCGTGGAGGTGGCGTTGAGCGGGCACCAGATGTGTTGAGTGGCATGCCGAGCTGGCACCGTAGGAGCGCCGCGTTTTTGCGCTAAGGCGTCCATCAAGGAGCCGCTCGCCCGCCCGCTTGTGCTCGCACTCGCCCAACCGGTCCTAGTACCGGCTCCAACTGGCTCGCCCAAGTACGGTTTCAGGAAGTATACCAGGAAATTGAATGATAATATCCTTCAATTCAAATTCCCTGGTGCGGGCAACCAAAAAATGGTCCGTGCCTGTTTCCAGTTCCGAGGCACTTCGTGTTCACAGCCGCGCCTGCCCGGCATCGGAGCCCCGAGCCCAAGGTCGGGATTCTCCCACCGAGGTCGGAATTACGACTTCGCTTTTTTGCCGAAAAACCCATCACCGGGCCAGCGCCGAAGGTCCGGGAGCGATGCTGTCCTCGCAGCATCGCTCCCAGAGTGTTTTTTTTCGCCATTCACACGGCCAGCCGTCAATCCTGTGCCCAACACAGGATTGCTCACTCAATCCTGTGTTGGGCACAGGATTGCCCCCCCTGAATCCTGCGCTGGGCACAGGATTGCTCCCACTCCTGCGCGGTGCACTACGAGCAGCTCGGGCTTGGAACTGTTCGTCCCCGAGCACGGAAAACTCCGTCAGCGCGTCGGTACACACAGACGCACTCCCGGACTCGCCGCCCGGCGTCTCCCTGAAAACACTGGAAGCGTACTGCTGTGTAGCAGTGCGCAGCCGGACTCGCCGCACGGCTTCCCGGCTTCGAATTTTGGGACTCTAGGCGCAGCGTGACACGGCGCGCACGGGCTCGGACCAGTGCTCTGCCACGCAGGGCAGCGCGCTGTTCTCCGCGGCCCGGTCGTAGAAGAGAAAGAGGCGGGTGAAAGGCGCCTCCGGCTCGCGCGCCAACAGCTCTCCCAGCAGGCGGATCAGCTGAGCGTGGCGCTCCTTCTTGGTGGTCCGCCGCGTCACGCCGGCGATCTTGAAGGCGTCCGGGTTGTAGCTTCGACATGTTTTGCAAAAAACAACCACTGTGTCAGGCAAGGCAGCTATCTGTGCCTGAAGTGAGGCGGTTGGAGAACATGGTGATCTCTCCACTCTCCGAAGCGATGGGAGTAATTGCAGGTTCGCGACGAATTTCGAAGTGATCAAGGACGAGGGCACCGTGGTTATTTGAGCTGGGACCTTAGTCCATAAAACCTCATCCACAAAGGAGAGGAGGGCCAAGTTTCTTCCTCTCATGGGCCTGGGCAAGTTCATGCATGATGAGCCTTGGGCAGAGCATTGGATGAGTTTGAGAGCTAGTGCAAACATGGATCAGTTCCTGCCCGTTGTGATGCCTTCGTACAATGAGATGCAGGGCCGTTGGCAGCGGTGTGCAATGACCACCGCAGAAGGGTCGCAGTGGTTGAGAGACATGCTGTCGGTTAAGCAGCAGGTCAAAGGATCTCGCCTCAGTTCTCATTCTTTGAAAGTCACTTTGCTGACTTGGGGAAGCCTTTCAGGTTTGCTGAGCCAGCAGGAGCAACGGGTTATGGGGCACCATATGGATCCTGGGTCAACTTCTGCGCTGACGTATAGTCGTGACGCTTTGTCATCAGTGCTGGCCAAGACAGCAGTCATTGTGCAGCAGGTGAAGGCTGGGAGTTTTGATCCCGATGCTTCGGTTGCCAAGCGAGTAAGCCTGGCCGTCAAGGGTCTCATGGAGCAAGTTGATGAGCATGATCAAGAGTGGAAGCCTCCTGAGGAGGATCAGGATGTCTCCTCTTCAGAATCCGAGGTCGCCTCTGAAACGCTGGAAGACTCGGAGGAAATGCAGGCCAGAAACACCTGTGAGTTGGTGGTCTCTGGGGTGCTCCACATCCTTGTGGAGGAGCAGGGGAGTGAGTTGCTGTGTGGGCGAAAGCTGGGTTTGGCGTACATGGCGGTTGCCGAATCGGAGTCAGCAGACGCACCCATGTGCAGACAGTGCAGCAAATCCTGGTCCCGAGTTGTGAATGTTTAATTCCTCTCTTGAAGGGAGCCGAGCCTTGCCGGAGTTCTGGATTGAGGCAAGGCGGAGTGAGTCTAAAAGAGAGCTGAGGGGCGACCCTGAGTGAAGCTTGGTGCCAGTCGGTGCTAGGCAGAGTTTGTCGGCACGGGAAGAGTTGCCGCATGTGTGAGCCGAGTTGAGCACGAGCGGAGTTGCGATGGTAATCGTTTGAGGGTCTTCGGTCCCGGAGTGTGCTGGCTCGAGAGGTGCTATCGGATGTGCCAGTGTGTTGAATTGTTTTTCTCACTTAAGCGGGTACATGCGCTCATGTAACAAACCGCGAGTTCCTGTGGGAATCGGTCAGTTTGCGAGCCATGGAGTCGGAAGCTACTTTTCGACAGAGAGCCCTCGCGGTTGGGATCCCTGAAGGGGACCTGCAGATGTTGGGGGACAAAGGTGTCAACACGTTTAGCACATTTGCATTTTGTGCACCAATGCAGAATCCTCAATCAATCGACGAGCGACCGCTTCTGGAGGCTTTGACTGAGCTCCTTGAACTGACGGAGCAGATCTCGGGCCCTCGAGTCATACCGTACAGGAGGCTCTATTTTGAGAGTCAAACTTTGGCGTTGAGTGACATGAAGCAGCGGCTGGAGAGAAGAGATGATCAGGCGCCTCGGAAAATGTGCCTGCCCGAGCGGGTTCAGCGTTTGAAGTTGGCCCGAGATGAGCTGACAGGAATCACCATTGACGCGGCGTTCGAGCCGTCTCATCGGCTCACGGACATTTGTCTTCAGCAGTGTGAGGACCAATCTATTTCCTACATCGAGCTGCACGACTGTACAAGCAGGGAGTGGGAAATAAGCAACAGGAAGCGTGATTCGGCTATTGAGTTTCAAGTTGATGAGGAGCAGCGAGTTCATCACGAGCCGACCGGAGAGCACAAGATCCGCACTGCCATGCTGAGGAGGGCTCTGGCTTACCACTTGGTGGGCGCTGCATCGTATCAGGTTTTGGAACGAGCGATTACGAAACTCTTCTCTTACCTGAGCCGCGAACCTGTTCGGGGATTCAGAGCCGTCTCCTTGCAGCAGATTGTATTTGCAGAGAAACAGATGTGGATTGAGGCTTCGTTGGCAACGGTGGGAAAGGTCCTAGACACTGCCGCGCCTAAGCCTCTGAACGAGGCAATTACTGCCGCCATGGACTCCCCGGAGGTGAAGCAATTTTTGATGTTCCTCCCACTGGCTCCGGAGGCTGCAACTTCAGGTTCAAGTGCGAAGAGGGAGGCGCCCAAGGCCGACTCGGGGCCTGCGGCGAAAAGGCCCAAAGGCAAAGGCAAAGGCGGTGGCAAGAACAAAGGCCCCGCCATTCCGGCGGGGTGCGTGGCCGTTCTAAGTAACGGAGATCGGGTCTGCTTTGCTTACCAAAGATGTCGATGTGTCAAACAGAAGGAGGCTGAGTGTCAGAGGGGTGCCATGGCCGGCACCCCGGGTCGGAATGCACCAAAAACTGAGACGAGGTGACGCAGGGCGAGGGGCTCAGCGTCCGAACTCAGTGCTATGAGTTTCACTTACCGTTCGATTGGCGGCAGATGAAGCCAGTGGATTGGAGTCAGCCGGTGGACCAACTTTTTGCAGTAGAGTTGTTCGCGGGCACCGCCGGTCTGTCGGCTGAGATGCAACGCCAACATTTTCAGGTTTTGCCCATTGACCACAGCAGGTCCCGAGGGCCCAAGGTCAAGTTAGTGCTTCTGGACGTGACCAAGCCGCAGCAGTTTCAGATTTTATTGCAGTTGCTCATGACGGCCAACGTTGCATATTTCCATGCGGCTCCGCCCTGTGGTACGGCAAGAAAAGCGCGCGAGAAGCCAATGCCAAAGTGGTTGAAGCATGTCAGGGCGCCCCCTCTCAGGAGCCATCACCATTTGCTTGGCTTGCCTGATTTGACGGAGGTACAGCAGCAGCGCGTGCAGACTGCAAACTTTTTGTATGCAGCAACTCTGCTCTGTATGAGTGTGGCTGTCGAGAGGAACATTTTGGTTTCATGCGAAAACCCATCTGGCAGCTACACGTGGAGTATTATGGAGCAGTTTCAGCAACATGCGCCAGATTTCATTCGGCGTGGCAGCAGTTGGAATTTAACAAGTTTCAGGCATGCGCGCACGGAGGCCGGAGGGACAAGTGGACCACTTTCCTGTCCTCTCCTAACTTCCTCCGACCGTTGCGGAAGTCTTGTGATGGCAGCCACACACACCTTTCGTGGGAACCATCAGTGGACAAGGGACGACTACTTTTTCCGACATCGGAGGAAGCCGCATATCCCGACCTGTTATGTCGTCGGGTCGCCATGCTTGTGGTGACAGAATGCCAGAAACGCGGAGCCACCATTTTCCCGGACACCCTGAGCTCAGCAGGTTTCGCTGGCGAGAAGCGGGCGGCCCGGGCCTGGGGCATTGTCTCGATGCCCCCTCTGGTGTCAGAATTTGCCATGATTGCGGATGTGGAGCTCGACTCAGCAGCTCAGGCAGGCTGGGTAAAGTCTCTTGAAAAGAAGGGGGTGAAGCGAAAGACCGAGAGTAGTGGTGGCAGAAGTGCAGACCAGACGCAAGGGGACCAAGACATGCGCATTCGGGATGTCAGCCTGAGGAACTCAGGCGATGCAAAGGTTTCGAGAGTCTGGAGCCAAGTGCAAAATGAGCCTAAGCTACATACTGTCTTTTGCAGCGGAGACCCCGAGAAGAGAGCGTGCGAGTTTGGTTATTGGAGATCGCCTGGAGAGTTTTTGTGCGCGGCGCAGGGAGCTCGGCACCCTGTCGATGTGGTTCGCCTCGTCCCAGATCAGCTTACAAACAGCGTCTTGCAAGTGTTGAGGATGGGGCCGAAGCTCACCAACTTCAAGAGGCGTTTGAGCCTGGCGAAGATCAAGCGGCTGAGGATCCAACTGGCTGCCGAAGAAGTCAAATTGCATGCGAAGTTGGATCCGGACGTGGAATGTATTTTGCAGGGCAAGAACTTGTTATTGTGGAAGAAGCTGCTTGAGGAGTCGAGGTGTCAAGATGACGGGGCCGGCAAGCTTGTCCGAGGAGATGCCTCATGGATACCAAGTGCCGAACATGTCCGAGCGCGAAGTTCAAGCCAAGGCTCACTGGTGGAGACGTGCGTCAGTTGCAAAGTGCCAGGAACGTGACCCTGAGCTTGATGCTGAGCTGTGGCAACAGACTCTGCTGGAGGTCGAGAAGGGTTGGTTGCAAGGGCCGTTCTCCGAAGAGGAGGTGACTGCGCTGGTGGGGACATCCAGCTGGCTGGCAACACGGAGGTTCCCTTTGAGGCAAAAGACGAAGGTCCGTATCATAGATGATGGGCTGGAGTCTGGCTTGAATGCTTCATATTCGACCCCGAATAAGCTGCGGTTGCACGACCTGGACACTTTGACGGCTTTAGCGCTGCTCATTCGAAGGTGCCTGGCAGGGAAGGGACGGCAGACAGTTGCTATGGCAGATGGCTCGCTGCGAACGGCAGAGCTGGCAGCTGACTGGCCGGCCGAGGTAGATCTGCTGGGAAGATGCCTGGACTTGACAGACGCCTACAAACAACTTGCGGTGGACCCCAAGGAGGCCTGGAGCCGCGTGTTGGTGGCCTATGATCCTGAGAGAAAGGAGCCCAGGTTTTTCTTGACGCGGGCTTTGATGTTCGGGAGCTCAGCCAGCGTTTACTCGTTCAACAGGGTGTCGAGAAGCCTTTGGCATCTGGGACAGTTTTTCTTGTGGCAATGGAGCACAAACTACTACGATGATTATCCCTCTATAGAGACGCGTGAGACGGCGGGCTCGGCCAGGGAGACCATGGAGGGATTGCTAGAAGAGCTTGCAAAAGAGGGCAAGAAGGCAAAACCTTACTGCGACTCCTTTGAGGTGCTGGGCGTTGTGTGCTCTTTGAGGGGCACCTCGGTTTCCTTGGCCAACAAACCCAGCCGTGTGGAGGCGATACGCGAACAGTGAGGCGTGGGTGCGATCAGGCTGGATAAGCCCTGGAGAAGCAGCGTCAATGCATGGAGTCTTGAATTTTGCCAAGGGACACTTTCAAGGTCGAGCGTTGGAGCCCGCGGCGAAGGTCCTTAGCCAGATAGCTGCGGGGGGTTGCAAGGAGGCGGACAGGGAGTTGCTGCCCGAGGTCGTTTCGTATCTGCATGCTGTTGTGAGAGGCTCGCGCCCCAGGGAGTTTGGCATTCAGATGACTGCAGGCCTATTCTAGTTTTCACTGATGGTGCTTTTGAACCGGATGCTGAGCAGAAGTATGGGGCAGGAGCGGTGTTGTGGGACACCGCCAGCCAGAGGGGTTCTTCGCACAGCGTGGTGGTGCCTCCGGATCTGGTGGCTGCTTGGCAAAGTGCGGGCAAACGCCAACTCATCAGCGAACTGGAAATGCTGCCAGTGCTTTCAGTGTGTGAGTCGGCTGCAGACATGCTGTGGAGAAGACGAGTGCTCCTTTTTTGCGACAACAACGGTGTTAGGCAGATGCTGGCCAAAGGCAATACCCCTTGCCCGGGACTTTTTGCCATGCTGGCCCTCGTTCACAGAGCGCTGGCCAAGGCGGAGTGCTTGCCGTGGTTTTGCAGAGTGCCTTCAAAGTCAAATCCCGCCGACGGGCCTTCGAGAAACTATTGGCAAGATGAGGTTCCGGATTTCACAATACCGCCTGCCTTAGTCAGTGCACTGCTGTCCAGGCAGACTTTTCTGAGTTTCCTGAATGCAGAGTCGACTCTGTGACTTGTGCCGACGCAAAGGGCATGGTTGAAAAGAGGGGTGGAGGAGTGCAGAGAGTCAAAGACGGAGTGGAGGCTATGCAAAGCCGGAGTGTGACTGCGCCCTCCCCTCTGGCCGAAGGCCGAAACCAATATGTCTTTGCGAAAGAAAAGAGTCTCAGAGTTTGCATGAAATGCCCATTTTATACACAGACGTGATGCGCCGCGCCTAGCTGGGGATGCTGGCGATGCAGTTGTGTATGCTGGGTCTTGTCTTAACCCGATTGGCTCAAAGATGGTCATTTTCAAACGTGTTTGATAAACCTATCTTTGGGTCAAACAGAGTAGCGTCTCGGGTCTTGTGTGTGTCCCACTGTGTGTGTGTCAACCAAATAGCTTGAGGTTTGGAACACACCTTCGCACATGACACGCGCAAAATACGTTGTGTCTTTGTGTGTTACCAATCGAGCAATGCATGTATACCGTGAGCAGCTGTTCGATTTGCCTTTTCGGTCAAGTGACTTGTATTTCCATTTTAAACCAGACACGTGCCAACATGTCAACCGTGCCACAATCAGTGGCTCTTGGAAATCACAACTGGTTTGGAGCGCAGTTGTGGAATTTGACATGATGCACGTCGCACTGGGGCCCAAGTGGTGGGAAGGGTAGGGACGCAGTTCCTAGAGTTTTTGTCCCGCCCACCCAACCCCGAGTGCAGAGAGTCAAAGACGGAGTGGAGGCTATGCAAAGCCGGAGTGTGACTGCGCCCTCCCCTCTGGCCGAAGGCCGAAACCAATATGTCTTTGCGAAAGAAAAGAGCCTCAGAGTTTGCATGAAATGCCCATTTTATACACAGACGTGATGCGCCGCGCCTAGCTGGGGATGCTGGCGATGTAGTTGTGTATGCTGGGTCTTGTCTTAACCCGAGATTTGGCTCAAAGATGAGCGGCCTCGCGAGGACGCGCTGCTTGAGGCCGAGCGCTCGCACCAGCGGCGTCTCATAGCGCAGCTCGATGAGGAGCTCCTCGATGAAACTCTGTGCCGCGAGGAGCGGGAGCGAGACAACAAAAATCTCCGCTGGATGCTGGGAGCGCCTCGACGAGATCCTCGAGTGAGCTTGAGGACGCGCAAAAAAAAAAAAAGATCCCGAGCTCTCGTTTTCTCGCTTTCTCGATAATGCTTATTCGATCCGCCGCAGCTGCTCAAGATGACTTCCTCGGCGGCCTTCCGCTGCGTGCAGGCATGGCTTCTGGAGAAGCCCGCCGCGTGGGCGGACGAGGAGGCTCCCTGCCTTGCGGCTGCTCTGATGGCCCAGCGGCCTCCCTGCAAGCGGCCTCGCGAGGACGCGCTGCTCGAGGCCGAGCGCTCGCGCCAGAGCGCCCGCATCGCGCACCTCGATTGGGAGCTCCTCGGCGAAACTCTGCGCTGTGGGGAGCGGGACTTCGAGAACAGAAATCTCCGCTGGCAGCTGGCCCACCGCCGCGGCATCATCGCGCAAGAGCGCGCGCGAGCGGCGAGGGCGTTGGGGAGCTGGAGCGCAGCATCGACATTCTCCGCTGGCGGCTGGAGCGCCGCGTCGAGGTCCTCAAGGAGGAGAACGAAGATCTTCGCGAGCGGGCGGTGCTGGCGGAGGTGCACTTGAGGAGGATTTGGACAGGGTGAGGGGAGCGCGGTAAAGAAAAAAAGCCCGCCAAACGCTTGAATGGTCCAAATGCTCGAACGCTCTCAAAAAAAAACCGCCGCAGCTGCTCAAGATGACTTCCTCGGCGGCCTTCCGACGCGTGCAGGCATGGCTTATGGAGAAGCCCGCCGCGTGGGTGGGGCGGGACGCTCGCTGCCTTGCGACTGCTCTGACGGCCCAGCTGCCTCCCAACAAGCGGCCTCGCGAGGATGCGCTGCTTAAGGCCGAGCGCTCGCACCAGCGCCGCCGCATCGAGCTCCTCGAGGAGCAGCTGCACGCCGCGGACTTGGATGTCCGAGACCTCGCGAGAAAGCTCGAAGACACCGAGCGCACGGCGGTAATCGCGGAAGAGGCGGGTCAAATCTCTACGGCTCTTCGCACCCCGGCCACGCGCGCACAGCGGGCAGAGCTTGCCCTGCGCTGGTTTGAGGCTGGTATCACATGGCGCGCTCGGCGGGGCGATGACGACGAGGGCTCGCCGAGAAGTCCCCAACCCGACGCTGAGGAGCTCATCAGTGAGTGGCAGGCGGAGCTGTCGGCTGTAGAGACGTAGAGGCGCAGAGAGCATCAAAAGGGAGGCGGGAGCCTGGGGCCTCTCTGTAGCCTCCGCTGGCGGGACTGCACCTCCAGCCACCGCGGTTCGGGAGCTGAGTTTTCGGGGACTTTTCGGAGATCCCTATGCACCACCTTTTCTGTTTCGATCGGCTTAACCCTGATCCGAACCATATCCCCGACCTTGATTTCCGGGCGGGTCACCTTGTGTTTGGCCCTGCGCTCGATGTTGCGCAGAGCAATCTCAGCCATTTCGGGGTCAGAGTAGGCGAGGTTCGGCGCCACCTGCGCGGTAGCGTGCTTCCTTCCGTTGATTTGGCTCAAGATGTCGGCCAGCATGAGGTGCCACTGCCCCCGCCGGCCCGCTCCGGCTGCTATGCGACGCAACATGGCCTCCTTGATGGTGCGGATGGTGCGCTCGGCGAAGTAGGCGTGGCCCCTGGTCACCTGCTTCTCGATGTCCCAGAAATCCATCAGCTCCTTGAACTCCCTCTTGAACTCGGAGCCGTCGTCGGAGTACACGTTGGCCGGCACCCCCAGGGCTTGGAACACCTTCTTCATGCCCGCCGCGGTGGTGCTCGCAAGACGGTCCTTCAGCGGCTCCGCGGCCACTTTCTTGGTCAGCGCATCGATGGCCACCAGCATGAAGGGGTAGGGCTTGCCCCCGAAGGCCTTCATGTCGGCCAGGTCCACCTGCAGCTGGTTCATGGGCTCCAGAGGCACGAAGCTGTTGTAGCCTCTCTGGTTCACCCGGAGGCCGTCCAGAAACGCCTTCACCTCCTCTCTGGAGATGCTGGGGTCGCGCACCTGAGCCTGCTGCAGCGTCTGCGCTATGGTTGATGGTTCGTCTGCGGGCGTCGGCCATGTTTCTTATGGGTTCTTCGGCCTTCGCTGGGCCTGCCAGGCTTCCACCTCGTCCAGCCGGGCCTGGAAGCCCTTGCACACCCCCCATATATATTACACCTGCATATGGGAATGTGCTACGATTTGCGGATGCGTGTTTCATTTTCAATCGAGCCCGGCATGTTTCACAATGAATGAACGGTGTAGCGATAGCGAGCGAAAGAGTGCTCGACACAGTTTCGTAGCTGAAGCCGTGGCCAGTGGAACGTTTTGTGGTGTTTGGACCGCATGATGAACGATGCGACCCAAATGGGGGATGTTAAAACCCTCCTGGCCCCGTGCCTAAATTGGGAAGCAGTTCTGAGGTCCGTGTTTGTGTTGCTTACAAGGTTCCATTGATTGCCATTTGGCTCAAGACACAAGTGAGGTTCAAGATCTTATGTGTAGCTGCGTTCATACGTGATCGGCAATTGAGAGCGGAAAACACTTCGCTTGCGCTGCATTTGTCAGGACCACTGTTGTAACTATTATTCCTTCTCCCTTACAACATTTGCACGGGTTCGGCTATAACGGTTTGACCGTATACACCTTTCTACATGGTTGGTATTACAGCTGGAGGGTTCGGTGGACAGCGTCCCACGGGACGTCACCTTGCCGTCTCTTGACACCCACCTTCAACTTCGAAAGCAAAACGATGCATGGGCATCATGGAAGTGATCAAGTGGCAGGAGTCCGGACAAAAGAAATCAAGATTTCAGGTCCTGGCAGCAAGGTTTCCAAGCATCATGAGCCCGAATGACATGAGGGCGGCCAGGGAGGAGATGAACAATGCTGGCCTGGATCGGGATGACATTGACAGGATGTTCAACACCTTCGTGCATCCGGATCACAACTGGTCACAGTGATTTTGGATTCATGAGCTCATCCGCACTGGCAAAAAGGTATTCCGCAAGAATGGGTGATTCTCTCGGAGGAGCATTCCATGTGACGTATGTGGAGAGCCTGCCAAGCATCGTACGCTGTGGGCTAGTCCCCGGCGGGATCGATGGCGGAAACAGGCTGGCATTGCACTTCGGAGCATTTGCTCCATGGGATGAGATGAACGTAGCAACAAAGGTGACGCTACGAAACGTAAGGACGGGGGATCCGATTGCGATCATCTACATTCCCAGTGCAACCCTCGCGCGGTATGGAGCTGGAGTCGCGGCAAATGGGACATTCATGGTCTTTGACGTGATCCCGTTCTATGAGGTCAAGTCCATTTGGATTGGCAAAAGCAACGGAGGGAAACGCCTGGAGTACGGGGACACCAAGCGAGCGTACTCAAAATGTGTGGAGAACGAGATGTGTCCGGGTTTCGTCAACTCATCCCAGGAGTCGGCTGCGATGTTCCTTCAAAACGTCGCGAAGATCAACGAGAGGACGCCTGAGACCGAGGCAGGTGCCGACAATCTGCGCTACATCAAAGACATGCATGCGAACTGTATCGGGAAAACAAGTCAGAGGAGTTCGATGCGCAGACCAACGAGGTCAGGGACGAGATCAGCAAAGTCGTCATCCTAAATGACGAGACATGGGAAGGACTGAGGTGCCGGATATGTCCGTCATGTGCGACCGCGATTCCCACATGCTTCTGCGTGTGCCTGGAATGTGGAGCGCAACTGATCTCCACCGGGAGATTCTGCATCCACATCAGTTCCGACGATGATGAGGACAACCAACGACCCAATGTCTCGGGCTGGTGCGGCAGGCAGCACAAGAAGAGGATGATGAGGCGGAGGAAGTTCCTGAAGAAGACGACATGGACACGCGAGGGTATACATCCGGCTACATGTCTGACGAAGAAGATGGCGGTTGGCAATACCGCGACAATGATTTGGCGTCACGGGATATTATAAATACCCAGCGGATGGCGATTTGCCTTGATGAGCCGCGCGAAGCTCAATACA